TGATATCAAATTTCGGAGTGATTTCGCACATCTAATGATTTACCCAGTAATGGAGGTTCATTCACAAAGTATTTTTTGTCATTTCTTTTTATCTTTGACTTGTAAATTGAGGTGCATGCTATTTGATTGACATTTTATTTAAAAGATGAACTCAGATCAATCTGTTACTTAATTTCGGCTTTATTCTTGTCTATGTTCGTAGTCGAATTTGACATTATGCATTACATTACATCCCGTTGTTTATTTTTTCGCTTTCTTCTTCACTTTTGTTAAACTATGATTAGAATTTGGCAATTTCGAGGTTGGCATCAAATATATCGGTAGCATTCATTTCTTCTGCCATTAAATAACCAAAATGATTGAAATATTTCTTGAGAAACGTGAGAAGAATGGAAACATGTTAGTTTCTGATGAATATGCATGAAAATGTTAGAATTGGGGGTATTAAAATCAGAAGAAACGAAACAGATTTATCAATAACAAGAATGTTGACTTGTGATGGAGCAAAATTGGAATTGGAATTGGAATTTGGCTTGTTTTGATTTGCAAATCAATTAAAAGGTAGATGAATTTGTTATGACTTCTTGTAACTTTATTCGCTAAAAGATTAACTTATTTGGAGTTTGATTATTACAGTGTACAACTTTCCCATATCTGAAACATTATGGTAGGCAAGAACAGGGGCATATGTCAAAGTTGTAGCCAGGGCTTCGAGAAATGCATGGAGAAATAAGAAGGATGCACGAAAATGTGACCAGGGCTTCAAGAAATGTATGGAGGAATAAGAATCATGTACGAAAAATGTGTCAAAGTTGTAACCAAGGCTACTTGTCAGACTGCCCAACGAAAAAGCGATACCCAGAATGTGGCTAGGGCTTCAAGAAATTTATGGAGGTAGAGGAAAATACTTCAAACATAGAGAGGTTGTTCTTTTGCTGTACTAGAGAAAGACATTGAGATATCCATCAACACTAAGCTTGTCATAAATTATGTATGTTGTAAGACTTTGTTGTAAAACTTTTGTTGTTTTTCTATTTTTAAGTTAAGTATTTATTGTTTTTCTTTTTTATTGTGTTCTTTGTTTAAGACTTTGGTAGATTCAATCACATTTTTTAAGTGATTTTCCGTTTTTAAGTTGAGCATTTATTTCTGTTGTAAGACTTTTTGCTTGTATCCATGTTGCAAAACACATCTATTGTTCATGCATTACATTCTTCTCTGGTGTTACCCAGTTGTAAATCAAGACCAAGAATGAATGTATTACTTCATAAACAAGCAGGCCAGCAAAGAGTACAACTTTTTTTTTTCCTTATCAAAACAATTTCATTAACAAAACCTCATTAACACGAGTGAATTTGAGCAACATTAATGATACAAACACATACCTCAAAGTGACAATATTCTTGTAAATATAGATCAAAAAACTAATTTTTAACTTCCCAATTGAATTACAATGATTACTGGTATAGAGCTCCAAGCATGAAAAACAACAGAAAAAAGATAATCATGGAAACATGACACCATCAGGATCAATTCAACTCATGCTTGTCTGATAGCAAGAAACTAAATCCATCCAACGTAATATTTCTCCTTTTCGCGCCTGAGCAGATCATATGCCCACTTTCCACGTATGGTCTGTAGACCTCACAAATTGAGAGCAGAAGTGAAACACCAAAAGACTCTAGATCCAACCCACACGCAGTTCTCAGAGAAAGCATAACATCCATTGCCAAGCCTTTGTAACCAGTGAAACTATCCTCAGAATGATTCACCAGTCCATCCTCTACATTCTGCACGTAACCCATATAATGAAATATGTTTCTAGACTTAATAAAAACAGAAAGGTGAATGAATAAGCAAAACTCACAGCTGCCAACCTCCTGTAAAAGAAGCCTCCATCCAAGCTCCTTCAACTGTGTATTCTTTGATAGTTCTACAATAACACACTGAAGAAAAAGACATCGAGATATTCATCAACATTACTATGCAAAAGGAAAGGGGAAAGTTCATTGCCTTTGATCCAACTATGTGATCGAGTTAATGACTTTTACTGTATTTGTCAACATCCATTTTTATGTAATCAGCATTGAACTTGTAGTAAATTATGTATGTTGTAATCTCGTCTTATATTTCTCATGTATGAATTGATTAACATTTGGTTTTGTACAAGTTACTATGAGTTCCTCAGGTAAGTGCAAAGAGTATATTTCTTGTCACTTTCTAGTGTTTGGTTAATGTAACATAAAAATATCCATAGTTGAAAATGAAAAAAACCAGTTTGTCTCTTTGACATGGAGCAGATTCAATGCAAAACTTGTGTTGGAAAAGTGCAGCACAATCAGTGTGACATTTTTAAGTGCAGCACGAGCAGTGTGACAGAAATCATTAGCTTAGATAGAAGCTAAGTATGACAGAAAGCAGGGTAACTAATAAATACCACAAGAAAGTATCAAATGAGATGGTAAAAGTATAAATGTACAAGCAGTAAAGGTACTGCCGTACAAAATTACGGCAAGAGTCGAGCAGAAATTACTTGCAAAGAAAAACTACCAACAGCAGTTAAGGAAACGTAGTTAACTGCAAAACTGTTATAGAGCTATGTAAAAGCTTCTCGGAGTAGGGTGCATCCAACTATCGGAAAATCAGAAGCTATAAATCTATTAAAAATGAATCTATCTCACCCCGACTTGTTCGTTGAAATAGGCTCAGAAATCCTTCAATTTTAACAAAGCAAGCAACTTTTTATTTCGGCACCATAAGCAAAATCTGACATAACCTCCACAATTTCATAGTTGAAATGCTTATGATTCTCAAGGTTGGAACTAGTAATATATATACACAAAAATTATTTGATTATCTCAAAATCGTAAATAGCTGAATAATTTCGATAAACTTGATAAATCCCAAGTAAACGACATCTACAAGATGAACAGAAATGGGAAAACTCATATCGGACCGAAGCAGGATTTGGGTTTACCTTCACCGTGTGCTCCATCCATTTCTGCAAATTTCACCGTCCGAATACAGATGTGCTTCGATGAAATCCTTTCCAGTTGCAAATCGAGTCTGGGTTTGAAATTTGGGTTCAATCCAGCCTTCAGTCGATTTTGGGTTTGCGCAAATTGATTTTTAGGGTGATTCTCGAGTTCGATTTTAGGTGGGAGTTTAGGGATAGCGTGCGGAGGAGTTGTGTTGTTTATTTCCAACAAGTTAAAATCGAATTCTCTCCACGGTGCAATTCTTTACGTGGCAAGATGAAGACATTATCATTTGCCACCAGGGATTCCGTCTTGCCACGTAAGAAACCATACAAACGGTGGTGAGGGAAGTGATGGATGGAGCCAATTTCGTGGAAGTTCAATGACTAATCATAAGCATATCAAAGTTCAGTGACCATAACATGACAGTAGGTAAAGTTAGGTGAGTAATGAAACTTTTTACTCGTCAAGATAAGAATACGAAGATAATCAAAAACCCTACTCGCTAGAACCCAACTCATTCACCATGGGAATTTTTCTTGGTTCAGTAGAGGCAGCAATAATAACAAAAAGGAAAATGCTCCGGTGGAAAAATCCGTCCCGAAACCCGAGTCCGTGTCATCCGAGGTACCAGGCATGAACGGAGCGATGGAGGTTCGACGAGCCGCTCTTTCGTCTGACTTATCGGTTTTCGAATTCGGGTCAGTTGCCGCTTCCGCCGACAAGGTCACAGTGACCGGTTGCTGCCCCGTTTCGGACGAGCTAGAGCCCTGCCGTTGGGAGATCCTGCCTGCGAGTGGCTCGGATGCACCACAATTCCGTATAGTCTTTTGAGTAGGTTGATTTGAGATAAAATTATATTACAGAGATTGTATGCTAGCATAATTGCTTCTTCTAATCCCTTGTAAAATTTGGCCGACTTGTTGGATCGGAATTAATGTTAAACGATCCTGGAGANAACGACATCTACAAGATGAACAGAAATGGGAAAACTCATATCGGACCGAAGCAGGATTTGGGTTTACCTTCACCGTGTGCTCCATCCATTTCTGCAAATTTCACCGTCCGAATACAGATGTGCTTCGATGAAATCCTTTCCAGTTGCAAATCGAGTCTGGGTTTGAAATTTGGGTTCAATCCAGCCTTCAGTCGATTTTGGGTTTGCGCAAATTGATTTTTAGGGTGATTCTCGAGTTCGATTTTAGGTGGGAGTTTAGGGATAGCGTGCGGAGGAGTTGTGTTGTTTATTTCCAACAAGTTAAAATCGAATTCTCTCCACGGTGCAATTCTTTACGTGGCAAGATGAAGACATTATCATTTGCCACCAGGGATTCCGTCTTGCCACGTAAGAAACCATACAAACGGTGGTGAGGGAAGTGATGGATGGAGCCAATTTCGTGGAAGTTCAATGACTAATCATAAGCATATCAAAGTTCAGTGACCATAACATGACAGTAGGTAAAGTTAGGTGAGTAATGAAACTTTTTACTCCTCCCATCTCATTTCTATCTATCTATCTATCTATCTCCCTCACGACAGTCACATACCCTCTCCTTTCTCTGTACCTATCTCTCTTTCTCACACTTCACAACAGCCGGCATCCTGTTCTTAACTGCCATCTTTATCGCCGGTAAGTAGTGTTGGGACACTGCTGCCCAATTCTTCCGAGTGCTGCTGCGAAATCATAATGTTTGGTTCTTCTGACACCCAGTTCCCAGCCTCTGCTTTCATCCTATTCTCTAATTTTTGGATCTTATTTTTGGTGTTTATGTTGGCGGTTGTGATGTTGGCGCAGTGTTTAGTTCTCCTGGCATCCCGCTCCTAACCGTCGCCTTCATCCTGTGCTTGATGATGGCAATATCGACGGAGTGGTTCCAGGCGGTGTGCCTTCTCAGGTTTGGCTGTGTTGGTGTTGGTGGTGTTGATAGCGTGGATGTGGCGGTGGTACCGTGGTTGTAGTGGCTGGTTGGTAGGGATGCCATGGTAATGGAGACATCGGTGAAGTGGTTTTAGGTGGTGCGCTTTCTCAGGTTTGGCTGTTGTTTTTGTACTGGAGGTGGTGTTGGTGACGGCGCCTAGTGATGGCGACAGGGACATAGTGGTTTTCTTTGATCTGTTTGTAGCAGTGGTTTTTGTTTGTAGCGTTGGTGGTCGATTTGGCGATAGGGGTGATTTTTGTTAGATCTGGTGATGTTAATGGTGGTTTTGTAGTTGAAAATGGTGGTTCATTGGTGGTTGTAGTGGTGAGATGGTGGTGGTTTTGAAGTTGAAAATGGTAGTGACAGCGATAAGGCTGCATTACTTTTGGTTGTACCATGGTGGATTGGGATTGGGTGGGTTGGTGGTGGGATTAACATAAAGTTGTCAAGATGGGCCCGCCCTCTCCCGAACCGGCCTGTGAACTGTGTGGGTCGAATCACGGGCTGCCCGGACCCGAAACCGGTCCGGGCCGGTTCAAGAAAAACCGCTGGCCCGATTTTTTTTTTTTTTTTTTTTTTTTAAAAAAATTCAAAACAACGCCTGCTGCTGTTGCTGCAGGCTGACGCCTTTGTAACGATTATTATTTTTTTTGTTATAAATAGTGGTATTATGAAGTGAAAAATTAGTAAACTCTCACAATTTACAAGTCTACAACTACAAGTTTACAATCTCTATTTTTTCATAATCTCTCTTTATATTTTCAGCAATCATTTTTCATATTTAGTATTTTGTGCTTTCTTTTCATCTTATTATTTCAAAATTTTTTGTTAAAGTATTATGGATTCTCACGATTTTTCTTCAAGAAATGTCAATTTACATGATAGTTATTCTCCAATAAATTTGGAAGATGATAATGATCCAAATATTGGATCTTCTCATCAATGAAAAATTAAAAAGCATACATCTGATGTTTGGGAAATCTTTATAGTGGATGAACCAAACAAAAGAGCATAATCTTGTGCTCGCTCAATTTGTAGAAATTGCTAATCAATTTTCAAGTCATAAAGATGATCCATTTTTTTATGATATTGTTTGTACAATGGAGGACAAGTTTCGAAAATATTACGAAAATATGCCAATGATTTTTCCAATTGCAGCTGTAATGGATCCTCGTATTAAATTTTTTGGAGTTCAGTGTGCTATGGACCAACTTTCT